TAAAGTCAACTAAATATAGACTAAAACCTCCAAAAACTATAAAAAATAAACCTTTCCTTTCCGAACTTTGGCATCAGGTATTTTGTCTCAGTGACGAGTAAAAAATAACTAAGACAAAATTTGATACCAGGAATGGGGACATTGCTGTGACTAAACCTGTTGATGTTTTTCAAGAGGCTTTGGAAATGGCTTGTGGACAGAGTTTTAAAATGTTTGGACATGTCGCCTGGATGCATAGAACTGGAGCAGCTTAGGCTGTTCCATAGAGAATCTTCTGCTCAGAGCCCAGGAGACTAAAAGGCTGATAGAAAGCCTGATGGTAAAGACCAGGCGTGGGAGGCTCCTGCTGGAAAAAAGGACTACATTGGTTGTTGGACTCCCCATAAAGTGTGTTATGGTTTGGCAAAAAGTTTGCCTGCATTTTGCTCATGCCCAGAGACTTTACCTGAAACTGAGACTAAGGGTAACAGACTGATTAATCTGGCAAAGGAAAATTCAAGGCAGTCAAATGCTAAGACTGTGGCATGGCTCTTGTTGGGGGTTTTTAGCCAGCTTCGTGTTGCCAATCAAGAGCAAAGAGCCCAGAAAGATAATTTAAAACACTTTGAGTTTGGCAAAAAAAACCCAACAACAACAACAACAAAAAAAAACAACAAAACAAAAAACAGAAAAAACAAAACAAAACAAAAACTCCAGTAAAGCTATGGATTGTAAAGTTAAAACTGAGACATTGATTGCTGAAAAAAAAAAAAAAAAAAAAAAAAGAGATAAAGAAGATGGCCACAGAGCATCCCAGAAAACTGGGGGTCACCACCCTTTGCAGCCTCAAAACTACAAAAGTGAAAAAATTTGCTCAGAAAAAAAAGCTGCAGAGCACCATGCTCTAAAATGGCAACAGAGGCCACGTAATGTTCCAAAATGGTGGCAACGTAGAGAAGCTTTTCTTCCCAATCAGGTTCACAGAGCCCAGTGATCCAGGCAATCAACCCTACAGCCAAAAAAAAAAAAAAAAAAAAAAAAAAAAAAAAAAAAAAAAGGCTTAGCTACTGCTCCAGCTGGCAAGAAACTTTGACCACATCCACATGGTGCTGATTTTAGGTACAAAAAAAATAAAATAAAATAAATTCGAAAAGTAAGACGGCTTCCACCTCGATTGTAAAGCAGTTGGGAGGCCAAACAGTGTGCCCCTGGGAGGACAATCTATAAAAATGTAAAAGAAAAGCCAAAGGTGCAGTAGAAACCTCAAAAGTGTAAAAAACCCAAAAATGTGGATCATCCAAGAAAAGCTGCAAAAAGTAAACAGAGAGGGTTTAAAGAAAAAAAGCTACTAGAGCTAAAATCTCTAATAATGCCATGGAGGTAATATCACCCAAGCCTTTTAGAGCTTGCAAACAGATTGCTTCAAATGGTAAACATAAATCTAAGACAATGTTTGCCCTGGTGGACGATGGATTGTTTTGTTTCCAATGCTTTATATTCCCCTGTTTGTAACCTTTAAAATCGTAATATTTGTCCTGTGCCTTTACATTTCAAAACTGTTTAACCTTATTTCATTTATACAGGGGGTTACATTTAAGAGTTTGCCATAGATCTTAAAAGAGGCTTGAGACAGATTTTTCAGCAATGTTAAAACTATTAGGACTTTGGCAATTTTCAGAGACAAACTAAATGTCTTTTATATAAAAGGATGTGCATGAGTCCTGGGGGCCAAGTGTAAAACTTCATGGTTCATGTCTGTGGCCCCAGGCCTCATGCATTTGCATTGTGCATTTTTTATTGGTTCAATGTCTTGCGCTCGGATTGACAATGTCAATGTTACACCCACCTAGGGGTTGAGCCAGCATACAATGTAATGGGTAAAAAAAGGTGGGTCTCTCTCTATTGCCGATTTCTGCTTTGCTGTTTGCAGCTGCCATGAACTGCAAGCCACCATGCCACCCTGCCTTGGAGCTAAGTATAGACTTAACCTCCAAAGACTATAAAAAATGAACCTTTCCTTTCCCAATTTTGGACATCAGATATTTTGTTTCAGTAATGAGTAGAGAATAACAAAGACATATGATTGCCAGTAGGGTAGTATCTTGCTTGCTACAGTTTTGTAGTAAATTTTGAAATTGGAAAATCCAAATCGTATAATTTCATTCTTCTGTTTTTCAAGAATGATTTGGCTATTTTACATCCCTTGTCTTTTCCTATGAACTTTGAGGTCAAGAAAAAAAAAAAAATTACAAATTGCATGTAAACTAAAGGTCAATTTAGAAAGTGGCATTTCTTAAGAATGTTAAGTCTTTTATTCTATAAACTTGGTATATCTTTTAATTTCACTATTTTATATTTTTGTGATGTTTTATAGCTTTTAGTGTACAAAATTTATATTTGTTTTGTTGAATTGTATTCATATGTATGCTGTTATTTTTGGTGTTCTTAAACATGGAATTTTTAAAATGTATTTTAAATTATTCTTTGGATTATTGCCTATTTTTAAACTTTATAGTTGTGGAATAGTTTTGAGCAAGTTTTCTTTTGAATGTCATTTATTTTACTCAGTATTATGTGAGGTATATTCATGTTACATAGCAATACTTCTTTTTCATTGTTGTGTTTTCCAGTGTATGAATATATTATATTTTACTTATATATTACATTGTAATTTGTAACTATTCAATTTCCAATGTTAGGGGTATTTTGAGTAGTGTTACTAATATTAACATTCATGTGTATAACTTTGGATGAGCGTATTATGTGTTTTTTGTAGGTGCGTTTCTAGATGTGAGACTGGTAGGTCATAAAAGTATATCTGAATGTTCAACTATTGAATATAGTACCAAATGGTATTATAAAATAATTGTGATAATGTACTTATCTAACAGTGTATTTCATTTTTGTACTGAAACAACTACAGCAACATTATTTGATCTTTGTTTATCTTAGGACATTTACAAGATTTGTAATGGGATATCATTATGCCTAAAATTTGCAATTTATTAATGATTAAAGATGCATCTTTTTAAACATTGGTTATTTGGATATTTTTTTAAATAGTGTTTGTGTAAGTTATTTGCCCATATATCCATTGACTGATCTGTCTGTTTCATATTCATTAGTGGAAGAAATTTATTCATTATGAATATCAGCAATTAAAATAGTGTCATACTGGAACAAATATAGAAAACTGGCAATTTGAATAGAATTGACTTCATAAATAGACCATATGTACACTATAACTTAATGTTTGGAAAAATGTAACTTTATAGATGATCATTCCAATAAATAGGATTGATTTAATTGAACATCTATTTAATGTGATTTTTCTGTCTTATCCATATATAAATGTTGGCTCAAATACGTTGTTTATCTAAATGTGACAGGTAAAATAATAAAACTCCTTGGAAAAATACAGCTAAATGTATTCATACCTTTGAAGAATTTCTCAAAAAATTTTAATAGACTTTCAAGCACTAATCTTAAAATATAAAGATATAATCTATAATTATAAAATTATAAAAATGATAAATTGTGCCACATTAAAAATAAGAAAATCGGGTGCTGGGGATTTAGCTCAGTGGCATAAGCGCCTGCCTTGTAAATGTGCGGTCATTAGTTCGATCCTTGGTACTGATAAAAAAGAAAAAGAAAAAGACAAAAAAAAAAAAAAAAAGAAAAAAAAAGTCTCTTTATGAAATACACTAATAATAAAGTGAAAAGGCAAGACAGAGAAAAGGGATATTTTTAATGTACATATCTAACACAGGGTTTTAGTCCGAAAATCTAAAAATTTTAGTTATTTTCAAAAATTTTGGTTATTTTCAAAATAAAAGCCAATGATTATGTGTTTAAAAAAATTTTCCTTGATTTGACTAAATCACAAAAGCAAGATCAAGGTGAAACCTTGATTTGAAATCCGTTAATCCTTGCACATTGAAAATCTTTAATTTCTATAATTTTCTAAAATTTTGCAGACTTATTTATAATTTAAGAATATAAATAACATTAATATTTAAATTTTATTTTTTAGATTTTTGTTTATCAAGTTAAATATTGTTAATTACTTGGTTACCTAAATATACTGAATTCTACATAAAATTTAATGTGCCAAATGTTTTGAATAGTTATAATTTTCATGTGAAATTTAATCCTGTATTTTATGTTCTCACAATTTATTAGGTCAGTGTAAGATTAAATCAGTTTTAATTATATAATTATATACAAATGTAAAATTTTAAATCATTTTCTAGTCATAAAATTCAGTCTAGTGATGCTATTATATTTAATAGAAAATAAAAATATTCTAGAATTTTTTATTGCTTATGACATATTTAATTTAAATAATTTTCTAAGAACTTGAATTATGGTCACTTAATTTCATGAATTGATATATATACATCTATATATTTATATATGTGTATATATATATATATGTATATATATTAGTATATATGCAAGAATAGGTCATATATACAATTATAACCAATGTACATAATTAAATTGTTTTACTAAGGTATAATATAGATGTAGTTATAGCACTTAATTAAATATTTGTAATTTTTATTATTATGCCCAGACTCTGTCTTTTTATCTTAGTCAATACTAAGTTTAGAACTAGATAATTGTCATATACCACTCATTCTCATTCAAAATTTACTTGATTTTCTCTTTTGAATTTTAATTGTCCTTGATATAGTTAAGATAATTCTATATAAAACATTTTTTTATTTTGCAAAACTATGTTTTGCTGCTTTTATGCAATATTCATGCTTTCTTTATACCTATTTAGAAAAATTGATTAAAAGAAACTTCTCTGATAGCTGTATCAGAAGATATTTTTATTTTATTGCTTTTGAATTCAACTGTCCACTTCAATGACTCCTACCCAATTAAAATGGTGTACATATTTTTCACAAATCCATGTTCAATATAGTCAATTTTATTTTTAAATAAATGCATAGAGATCATTTTTCTCAGGATATTGGTGATGAACAAGATTTTTTTAATGTTTTCAGAATTGCGGGAACCTGGAGAATAATTTTGATGACATCAAGCACACGACTCTTGGTGAGCGAGGAGCTCTCAGAGAAGCAATGAGGTAAGTCTGGGTCACCATAGCAACAGTCACAGATGTGGTAAAGAAAAAGTCATTCTTCATTATTGGGGGAACAAATGAGTTCATTGCCACCATTCAGCTCTGTTCTCTAAGGTATTAATTTGTCAGTGGAGAGACCTCCCTTGAGGCTGTACTTTGGTTTTGAAGCTGCATAAATGTTAAGCCTGAGTGCACAGTAAAAAATGTAAATGTTTAATTTGTTACTTAAAATGCTTAAGGGGTGTCTTGTTTTATATTTATAGCAAACTGTTTGATTGAATGAAAGTATTGTTCATCTAAATTCTGCTGGTATGTAAAAAAATAAACATTGTACAAAGATGACTTAACTGAATACTATCTCTTATTAATTAATATTTAATTTAAAAAGAGGTACTTAGAATTTCATCTTCTATGAGATTTTATAGGATTATGATATAGGATTTTAAGTAATTTACATTTTCAGACTAATACACAGCATATCATTGACTTATTTTCAAATACAGTGTTTTATAAGTGAGTCTGAATTTTTTTAAATTTCACATTACTGTATTTTAATATTTCTCTGAAGTCTCCTCAGACTTAATGCCTTTTAAAATAACTTTAGGGAAACATTCTTTAAATCCATTTGATTAGAATCAAGGAAGATTTTTACTAAATATTAAAATGTGTAATAAAAATCATCATCCTTAGGAGAATAAAAAGTGATACTAGTTTTATAATTCTGAACTTGAATCTTTGAGTTCAATTAATGTTTTTTAAGGAAACAAAATATTTGTCTTTATAACTTACAAAACTAAATTTTACTTCAGAATATATTTCCTTATATCATAATGCTCATTTCCAATGATCTGAGGGCTAAAAAAAGTTAAAATATGAGAACGATCACCCCAAGAGTCTTCTAGTGACTTATGTATAATTTTGTTATTGCTCTCATACAGTTACCATATACTCTAGTTTAGAAGCTGCTTTCATTTAGTAACCTTCCTTTTACCATGCAAGCAGCAGGAGAAAGTAATTAAATTTAATAGAAGCTGCCCTCATTTTGAAGCCACTTCTATTTAAAACCACAGGGGGAGGTAATTAAATTTAATGGAAACAGTAGCCTCTACACAGAGATACATGGTACTTCTGTATAGATGATTATGATGTCACAAAAAAGAGGAATAATATATTACTAGTACTGAGAAATTACCAGCTGGAGCAAGGGAGCCTATTTTATTGTTAATGTCTTTACTAATGAAAAAGAAGGAAAAATAAAACTAAGTGCACAACAGAAAATTTGTATCCGTATAAAATGTAATCAGACATTCGCAGAAATTTTAACAGAAATAATTATAAATTTAAACTAAGGTCTAAACTATATTATTAAAAAGGTTAATGAACAAGTCAAGAATAAAGTCATTTTTCAATGTAGTCTGTTCTCCAAAATTACCACCCTGTTATAAAGTGATCACTATTTTTGTAATGCTTATAATATTTTTGAATACATTAAGTACGCATGACAGTATTTATTTTAAAGAGTACAATTAAATTTGGAGTTGTATATTTATTCATTTTGAAATAAATGCATAGAGACATAAGAAGACAAAGGGGATGCCAGCTCTCTTGCTTCGAATAAAAGAACTGAAAGCAAATCCATGGAAAGAACTGAAAAGAGGTAATGTGAATAAAAGTGGATGTGAGGGAAATACAAGTAAGGAAAGCACATACAATGAGTTTAGAAAATTAGTGATCATGAAGAAATAAATTATTGGTGAACTGCACATGAAGAGATTATGAGGTTTTTCAATTTTTATATCTATCACTTTAGAATATACCAGAATTTCATTTTTTTAAGTGGGTGAGCTGATAAGAAAAACAAGTATTAACTACCTGGTTGGAGTAAATCACAAACTATCCATGGTATGAAATTAAGGTTCATTCCAGATAATTTAGGTCACACTTTGATTGCACTTATGTGAAATACACTTGTTTAGATAGGTTTGCATATATTATGCACTCAGGCACACATATTGGTAATGTCTGGCTTCACAAAACACAATAAAATAATTCAGTAACTAATAACATTCAACAATTTAGTGTACTGTGGATCAAGCATTTTTGTGTGTTTGTTTTTGCTTTTGAAAGTGTGGAAAGAGTTCATTTAGTTTTATAAGTGAGATTCTGTGGGAAAAGCAAGCAAAACACCTAGTAAGGAATATGATTAGAGGAAAAATGTTTGAAGAAGAAAGCATTATTTTATCTGCAATAATTTTTTCTTATATCAAATACATTTGGACCATGGAAAGGCTAAAAAAAATGATCTGTGCTCCAAAAGTTCTGGTAGAGGTAATAGTACAGAGCGAAGACAAGGATGCCTACAGGTGCAAAATGTTTCGCAGAAGAAGTCATGGTTTAATGTCATGGAAAGGAATTGTTTCAAGTTTTCTTTGAATATACACTCACCTAGACAGATTTTTTTTTTTATCACTAATATGTGGCATTAATTCTTGGTTGGGAATGGGCAGTGTACAGGGATAGTGGGATGGTTTAGAATCTCAGAAGATTAGGGACAGCGGAAGACAAATATAAATAATTTGATAAAACCCTGAGGTAGCAGAGGGGCTCATCTTAGTAGGGTATCTCAGAATGTGTTGTTTAACATTTTTTGGCTAGTTGTATACAGTGTAGCTTGCATTGATAAAGAGTTTAAGTAATTACAAAAATCATTGTGAATTTAAGGATGGTAGGGAAAATACTGATTATAAAACTCTGAAACCAGTTTCATAGGGGTGGGAACAAGAAGTGATTCATTTATTTATGTTTTTGTAATATGTTAGGCAATGAGATTACAGAATACAAATGATACAACCCTGGCCCTCAATGAACTGTTAGTGTGAGGAGGAAATAAAGATCATCCTCTCAATGCAAAAACCTAGACTTAGTGGAGTCCTTTCCAGATCCCCAGACATTTCCTGGTAGCTAGTGTCTTAGTCCATTGCTTGGCAAGTGTCTTGGTTACCTGTTGCTGGAACAAGATAACACACAAGTTAAAGGAAGACAGATTTACTTTGGCTCAGTTTATAGGTGTCTGAATCCATAGTCAGCTGGTTCAAAGGCAGGGAAGCATGGCAGAGAGCCATGGCAGAAGAGAAAAGCGTGGCAGGGTAGGCAGGAAACCGAGGAGAATCAAAGGAGGAGGGAGGTTACATACTTCCAGGCCACACCCCAGTGACTTATTTCTTTCCAGCAGGCTTCACCTGTTACCATCTCACCAAACTGTATGCCCCTTATTGGATTAATGCAGTACCACATGCCCCTGATCCACTGTCACCCATCCACGAACTAGTCATTCCCCAAATGTCCATTTATGAGCATTTGAGTCTTTGGAGTGGGTAACTAAATATAAGCCACAACAGTTTGGGAGCACCCCTTGTCTCGCTCAGTTGATCATTTAATCAGCCCTTATGTGGCTTTAGGTCACAGTGATGCTGTTGACCTGAGCATGTCTAGCCAAGAATGGATGGGAGGACTGGACTGATTCTGAAGATTGACAGATGGTGGCTGTTGGGACTGTACACTAAATTGAATACCTCTTTGTTTATTAAGGGTCTACTCTTTCTATGAATTTTAAACAGAAAATGGAATTTTGTTCTTAGTGCTCTGTTACCTCATCCAGTTTCTTGTCCTGGCCAATCTTTCCCCTACAACCTGAAAACCATTCCTAGTTCTAGTTCTAGTTCTAGTTCTAGTTCTAGTTCTAGTTCTAGTGTTCTGGTGCATGAATCACTTTAGACCCCTTTTGTGTTTATCCCAGTCTCAAATGTGAGGATACCCTGAGCTATTGTAAAAAAGCACAAAGAATAGTTTTTCCAGTCTTTGCAATGTGATGACTACATAAAGCATTAAGTGCATTAATTGTGATAGAGTCAAAGAAGAAAGAAGATTAATGAAGAACATTTGATTTTCAGATGAGTTTGAAATACTGAAAGTAAAGCCGTGTATAAATGTTCAATAGATGGAGAGAAAATATTCTTCATGAAATCTCTCAGGAAAGAGATGAGAGTCATTGTACACATTGGGACAGGTAGAATTTTGTTTTTTGTTTCTTTTGAATATTTTTAAAGATATTAAGACAAAAGAGGACATAACAAAACAGATCAGATCAGAACAATGCAAGTAACACAGGATTTTACCACAAGACAACCCTTAATTAACAGTAACTACCATAATGTCTCTTTCTTTGAAGTAGCTGAGCATAACTTCATATATGATAGTATCATGCATAACAAAACAGTATAAAACCATTCAAGAGAATGAAAGCATTACAGGGCTTTCAGAACCAAATAGCAGAGAATGAACAATGGCTATTACCTCATTTTCCATAGAAAATTTGTTTATACTATCACACATAATAATATCCAATAAGATATAACAGGATAGAACCAAAGGCAACAGAAAAACAAAAGCATAGTAGGACTTCAGAGTAAGATGATACTAAATTAGCACTGGCTTTCTAAATTCTTGTTTTCTTTAAAATAGCTGTTTATATTATCACAGATAATAAAATCAAACAAACTAGATAAAACCATTCCAACTAGTGAGTGCAGACATTATAAGGCTTCAGAGCAAATGTAATGGGGAATCATGATTACTATAAACTCGTATGTACTCTTACCATTTATTACACTAGGGAGACTATACGGTATTTATACATGTTGAGTTTGATTTATTTTGCTTATGAGTATGGTCTCAAGTTGTGTCCATTTATTTATAAATATCTCAGTGTGATCATTCTTTATAGCTGAGTACTCCATTGTATAAAAATACCACAGCTTTTTTATCCATTCCTCAGTTGATGGACACTTAGATTGTTTCCCAGATGTGACTATTACAAATTGTGCTGCTATAAACATGGGTGCACATATCACTTTGTATGATGTTTTCAGTTCTTCTGGGAATGCACCTAGAAGTGGAGTAGCTCAAACAAATGGGACTTCTAATCCCAGCTTTTTGAGAAACCT